TTACAAAACTGCAAATTAATCGCGAATACAGTGTAAACAGCGACAAAAACACACTGTTTCGAGCCACCTAGATTCATAACTGGATTTTTGACTCTTCATAAAAGTTGTAGTATGCAGTAAGATCTTACTGACTGCAAAATACGAGCTTATTCCGATATACGGTTTATGAGTTATACACTGCCAAAGTGCAGGAGTTGCATTGTCGGTAAAATTCGATTCCGTAATTCCCGACTAACTTTTATGATCCAACTTTCATGATTCGCTACATTTACATGCTATATACATACTTCAATATAATAAACAATAAAACAAGTCCAATGGTCGCTAACCTAAGCTTAATCATGCATTTTTACTTCTTTCGACATTTAACCGAACAATTGTTGTACGGTTAAACATATACCCACAATCTAACCATATTGAAACTATAATATACCCTTTTCAAATCTACATCAATTTAACCAGTCATAACATTCTAAGCATCATATATATCATAATTTTGACAACATCAATCCGTAAACTTAGACATAAACACAATTTATAAACCGGTCTTAAGAAACCTAACATAAACACCTTAATAAAAATGAATGAAATTTATATCTTTAGGAAGGGTTCGGAGAGTGGATTCCGAATATATAATTGTTACCTCGATTTCCTTAGTAACTTGACGTGGAATTTAGAGAAAATACAAAGACATTTAAAAAGAAATGAGACGAGAGAAAGAGTCGGTTTTCTTCTCCGACTCAATGCATGCACATATGCATATATATATATATATATATATATAACGTTTAACTAATTGGCGGTTTTAACTCTTTAAGTCTAGATTCTCAAGTTTACGCCAAAATAGGTATAAACTCATTTTTGACGCAAAACTCGTCTGAAGTACAAGTTAGTTAAGCATATAGTACAAATATGTTACGTATAATTCTACCAAAAATTCACTTAACCCAATTTGTACGAGTTAACGGAACACGAATATTATACAAGTTCTATTCCAACTATTATTTTTTATTGTTTAATTAGTTTCCTATTTAGTCTAAAATTATTTTATATTTATTTTTAATTTCAGAATAAACATATAAATAGGATTTGGTGTTTCATTGTTATTCAGATTATTCATTATTAATAAAGTTCTTCTCTTTGAAAGTATTTTATGAGTTTTGAGTTTCACAATTGTAATTCTCGAAGATTCAAAAAGGGGTTTAGACCCTTATCGATCTTTTCGCACTTCTTACTGCGTCAACTTTCAAGACAAGTTCTTCCAAATCTAACTTTGAATTTAAATTCGAATTTGAAACACATGTTTATAACAATTTCAGTCCATTTCACACTTGCTTTCAAGAGCACAATAAGATTTCTGATAAAGATCAGTATCTGAACTAAAATTCAATTACTGTTGTTTCGAAATCTTGAATTCTTAATTCTTATTCTTATATTTCAACTATCCACAGCTTGCATCAATGCATCGACCGCCTTCTACAAATCATAACCACAAATGTCAACTTCGACTTCATCATTTTTGTTGAATTATTCACAATATCATACATATTAGCAACACAAATTCACAACATCTTGATAGTGGGCAATGTGATCGTTGTAATGCATGTTTGAAAAAACCATGAACAAAAAATCAAACAAAATATAACTGTTCTCGATATGGTTTAGTCCGATCTTGATTCCATTCTTTGTTTTGGTTCTTTAAAACTAGAGATGGAAACTTGATCCATAGGAACGAGCACCCATAGGGATCTGCATTGACATGCAATTGGGCAAGAACAAAAATGTCGAAAACTTAAGAATATATGATTCAATATGAGTCATTAGCGAACATGAAAAAGCACCATTTGAAAATGCTATATAAACTCACGTTTGCTAACCTACCTTTTTAAGCATCATCCAGGTACAAAGATGCATATGTGAATCCACATTTATTATTATTAGTGATTCACATATGAATAATTTATTCATATGTTTTCAACTGTTTTGTCTTTTTTATTTATACTAGAAGAGTACCCGTGCAATGTAGGGAGACACATCTCGATTTTAATATTATTAGTGATTCACATATGAATCATTTATTCATATGTTCTCAACCGTTTTTTTATTTATACTAGAAGAGTACTTGCGCAATTCAGCGAGACACATCTCGATTTTAATGTTTTATTTTATTATTTGTCTTTGTCGATGTTATAATA